CATGCTGCCAGAAGGAGTCTAGAAGACAATTTGGAGAGTCCTAGACTTAGTGACACCTAGGGAAGTCAGGAGCCTATGTGCCATGACATAGGTTATTCTTCTTCAGTTTTAAGTCCTTCCTTCAGCCTTTCAGCTTAGAGTGAATATAATCTTCTGTTTGTCAGCCTCAGGGGCAAAAAAGTGCTTAGGGATTTAGTGAAATGTTTCATTTTTTCTTGTTATGATTTTTGGGAGATGGAAGGAGGAGAAGAGAATAGCTGTATTTTGTGGGCTTTGCTGTTTTTCTTTCACTGAAGCCATCAGAAAAGTCTGTCTATTTACAGATATTCTTGGAGAACATAGAGCTGCTTTTTTCTTTTAAGAGATAAAACATTGGTAAAAAAAATACGCAGATAGTTTTGTGGTGTTTAAGCATATAGGTTTATCCAAATCTTTTTTATGTTTTTGAGAGTTGTTCAAAGGAATAGAGGGGAATATTTAGCTTCTCCACAGATGAGAATAAAGAGCAGATGTGGTGAGTGGGTGTAGAAAAACAAAGAGCTTTGCAGCCAGTCATCCATCTATGTTTGCTCAAAGTAAAAACGCTGAGAGTGGGTATATGTATAAAATTGTGTGTGTGTGCTAAATCAAAAGTACACTATGATATTCAGCTTTCAACTTTCAGTTGCATATGAATAGGAATATATTCATGTATAAATAGGAATATATATTTGCTATGCATATTGCATATGAAAATTTCTTCACTGAAAGGGTTGACAAGCACTGGAACAGACTGCCCAGAGAAGTGGTGCAGTCACCACCCCTGCGGGTATTTAAAAGATGTGTAGATGTGGTGCTTAGGGACGTGGGCTAGTGGCGGACTTGGCAAGTGCTGGATTAATGGTTGTACTTAATGATCATAAAGGCCTTTTCCTACCTGTACTATTCTGTGATTCTATGATTCTGTGATTCTATGAAGCTCTGTGGAAAGATAGCAAAATGATTCTTCCAGTAAGATGGTAGAATTTCTATAATATGGCAACAGGAGGTGGTAGATTTTTTTTTTGGAGCAATGCATTTAGAAAATTAAATAGTATTTCGAAGTCTTCTTAAGGTGTGTTCCCAAGGAAGTTAGAATTATGCAGTTAGAATTATTAGAAGGACCTCTAATAATTCATAATTTCCTAAGCAGTTTCAACTGAATTTAACAGAGGAGGTATCTCGAAGATACTAAAGAGATTAATCTCACTCAGCTAGTCATTTAGGGTCCTACCATAGTCAAGAGAAGGAAAAAACCCCATGTCTGTAGAGTAATTCATCCCATTGAGAGATAGGTAGCATAAAATATTTTCTCCATATCAAGCAGTACAGGGAAAATAAAAAAAGATTAGTCATCAGGGGCCCTGGCAGTCAGCAAGCTATAAAAACCTGAATGAAAGAGAAGAATACAAATGCAAATTCTGGAGTGATGAACAAGGAAGCATAGAGGATTTTCTGTGTTGATAGATTGCAATAATTGTTGCAGATGGCTTGCACTATTTTTGCTTTAGAATTAGAATCATATTGATGAAAACACCCTTAAAACCATTTAAATACACAATTATCATTCTTCAGTCCTTATAGTGACTTGTGGTAAACCTTTTTTTTTGTTTCAGAAAAACCCATGCAGGTGTCACTTGACAGTGAATGCAGAACCAGTACCTTGAACACACAAATTTACAGCCAGGGTTTAGAAAATAATTTTTTGTGTACTGAGGATAGATTAAAAATAACCTAAACAGTGACAAGCACAAGGGAGTTCCAACAGTGAAAACTGTTTAGTCAGTAATTTCCTTTATGTCCCAATGAATAATACAAATGTCATACACTTCAGAAATAATAACAGTACAGAAGGAATGCCTTCTCTCTGAAGTACAACATGGTGTGATTTTTACTTGCCTCTCAAACACGTTGCATTCATTTGTTCGCATTTCTTCATGAAATGGGTTTTGGTGAAATACATGCTCTCTGCTAAGCATAATTTCCTGTATAACCAGAAAGAAAATTATTCCTTTCTCTCTCACCATTTCTGCAAGGAAGAATCCCTAGATAGCAGCTTTAGTATGCAAATACTGAAAGGCATACTGCAAAATTAGTTCAGAAGAGCACACTCCTGATAGCATTGCCTTAGCAACGCTCTAGTTAAGATCAGCCAAGGAACCAAGGTTGCAGTCATAAATCACCATTTTCAGGAATGTCCAGCACCACAGCTGAGAAAATTGTGACATTAAGGGCCAGATACTTGTTTTGCAAAGCTGCCTTTGTTAGAGCACAGTGACTACAGAGCTGAGACCCTCACACAGCCACCTCAGGGGTTTTGCTGTCAGTTTTAAACTGAAAGCGGAACGTGTGGCAGTATCACACTGGAGAAGGCGTTGGCAAAATGACAGGAGGGGATCTTGGGTTTATGAGAACACGTAGCAAAGACTTTGTATTTCACTAGGTGTTAATAACTGCCTATAGGGAACATCAGCACTTTATAATGGCATAGGAAATGTTGACAGCTCTCCTAGCAAGTGACTGTTAAATGAACCTTGTTCCTCTTGCTGGATTAAGTCACCATTAGCTTTATGGGAAGAAGAAATCTTTTATTCTATCTTCTAATGAAACTGAATTTTTGAGTATTTTTGAGTATTTTGGAGAAAGTTCTATAGTCTGGTCTGACTGCCCTCAGCTGTATCCTACCTCCTCACAGACTTCCCTGTCCTCCTTCTTTCACATGACAAATATTTTGGATGTTTCCAAGAGACCTTTTTGATTTGCATTTGTTATGTTAGCATTAGTTGTTCCTCCTGATGGCATCACATAAACCAGCAGACTATGTTTCACTTTGTGATATTCCCAGAGGCAGAATACACTTTATATTTCAAAGAAAACAATCAGGGGAAACTCTTGCAGTCAGGTGACATTATTATCAACTGACTGTTTTCAAGAATTTCTTAGCAATTGGCTGGGACCCTGGTATATCTTCCAGAAAAAATGTATAAGGAAGCAATGTTCAGCCTTTTTCAGGCCTACCGGGAGAGATACTAAATGAAACATTTCAGAGTCAGCGATAACTTGTTCTGTCAATCTGAACCACAGCAATGGAGGTACCTGTTCTAACTTCCTCCTCCCCAAGCCAGCAAGTAACCTCTATGAGAGACCACTGACATAAGGATTTAGGGTAGCAGTGTCCCACGCCTATAACACTGAAGGAGCCTGAACTTTTCAAGAAGTTTCCATTCTGATTTCCTTACCCTGGCCATTGCCAGTGCCTGGTGTGAAGAGGGCACACTGCACGCATGTAAGTTCAGCTCTCGGTCTGTTTTCAACTACAAAGATGATGCCAACCACAAGGGGGCACTTGGCATTTAGACAAGTGCAGGAGCCTTTCTTCACCTGTACGGAAGCCCTTCCAGGATCCAGTGTGTATATATATATCTCGAGTGCATATTGCTAAATAATTTTTATGTATAATTTTTGCATTAATATGTGTATAGTGAGTTTATCGATATAAACTTAAAATCAATTTCCATAATAGTGAAACTAAAGCTGTAGTATTGCTTTTTGCTCTTGGTGAGTTTAAAATGGTATGTTAAAAGATTCAGCTAAATCAGCTGATGAACGTCAGCTCCCAGTGCTGGAGGGAAGGGAGGTTATTTTGTAAACAAAACTTCATTTGATTTAAAATGTCAAGTAGAATGGATTGCGAAGGCTTTTTGTGT